CTTGATTACTTCCAATTATACCATAAACCAAATAGCAAGCCATGCTTAAAAACTGTAATGAACTTAGTCAACCAGATGATGTCAGTACCAAAGCAAATGGACTTCAATGAAGCCAAAGTGCCTTCACAGTTTGGTGCTGGTGACAAAGGTATTCCCTGTGAAAACTGCCAAAGCATTGTAAATATTCTCATTTGCTAACCTTGGCATTGGACATTATCTAAAACAGCTAATCCACACTAACATGGTTCAGCAAAGAACTTTTATTAAAAGACACATAATTCTAACCTGAGTCTTTAAATTTCATGCATGCAATTCTCATTGAATTCAATATAGTTTGGGGTTTCGCAGCTGCTGGAAAGGGTATCAGGTGGCAAGAATACTTGCTAATAAGATTAAAAATTGAAATGTAAATTGGCTAACATTTTGCATGGATTATCACATGCTCAAGAATCAGAATTTCAGCTTGGCCTCCATTCAACCAAGTGTCTCTCTATTTCTGCCCAAATTGATCTTGATAATGGTTGGTGAACTCAAACACACCACAATGCATACAGCTTTTGCCAAATGGCAGGCGAGCATCTCAAGAAAGATAACAGGGCACATGTTTAGCAAGAAGGTCTCACAGCACAGCTGTGTCCAACGGCTGCTCTTTTAAATATTCCTTTCACAGCGACCAGGCCTCCCTTCTACTGCTGGCTTCTTAGATGGCAGAGGAGGAAAGAGGAGTCACAGTAAGTTGGGGGTGGAGAGGAGACCCAGTCAGAAACTCACAAAGCTTTGAGGAACTCTTTAAATTAGAATCACAAAAAATAAAATGCTCCAAAACAACAACAACAACAACAACAACACAAAAAACACATGAAAAGATGCACAACATCACAGTAATTATAGAAATTCAAATCAAGACTACAATGAGAGACCACTTCAAAAACACTAGGACGGCTACAATAAAAAAGATGAACAGTGAGTGTTGGCGAGGATGCGGAGAAACTGGAACCCTCACCCACTGCTGGTGGAAATGTGAAACAATGCAGGGGCAGTTTCTCAAAATGTTAAAACAGAGTTACCATGTGACCCAGCAATTCCACTCCCAGGTAGTTATCTACAGAAATGAAATATACTCCACATAAAAACTTGTACATAAATGTACATAGCAGTATTATTCATAGTAGCCAGAAGTGAAAACAACCCAAATGTCTATCAGCTGATCACTGGATAAACAAAATATTGTATATCCATTCAATGGACAATTGTTACAATGAACAATGCAATATAAGTGCTGATACATATTACCATATGGCTGAACCTCGAGGACATTATGCTAAGTGAAAGAAGCCACTCTCAAAGGGACAAATACTGTATGATTATATGAAATGTCCAGAATAGACAAACAACAACAAAAATAGATGAGCAGTTACCTAGCATTGGAAGGGGGGTTATGGCTAAGGGTTACAAGGTTTCCTTTTGGCGTGACAAAAATATTCTAAAATTAGGTTGTGGTGGTGGTTAAACAACTGTGAATATACTAAAAACTATTGAATTGTACACTTTAAATAAGTGAATTATATCTAAATAAAGATACAAAAAGAAAGAAAAGAAAATGAGAAGAAACAAAAAGAAGCTGAGTTATAAAAGGCAGAAGTAAGTCTAAGAAGGCTGTGTCTGACAAACTAGTCCTGGCTGAAAAACCAGATGATGGGGCAATTCACATGCCACTGACTAGTCGTGATGATGACCAAGCAGCTCACCAATCCAGATGTAGGGCAGCATTCATTGGCATGACCACCACCCCCACCATCAGACATCCTACTCAAGTGGCTCCCAGTCATCCACCAGGTTTCTGCTCTGGGCTGCCTGAGACCTATCAGCCCTGCCCCAACTCAACCACAGCTTCCACTGGTTCATGATTCTTCTGAAAGGAGCTCAGAAGTGACACCTTAATGACAGAAGGGAGCAGCAGTTGCTGCAGTAGCCAAAGCAGACTCCCCTTTGATGCCTGGCTATCCTGCCAGTTGTCCCCTACTACATCAGAAACCATCAAACTGAACAACAGGGACAAATCTAAGATCATTCCAAACGTGACCCACCCAGGGATCTCACCTCCAAAATTCTATGATTAGGTGTAAAACAAACCAAAAAACCCCAGTACCTTCATACTCGACTCTCACATTTTAAGAAAAAGAGAAGATCACCGCATTAGGCATACAGTTATGAAGATAAAAATATTTCAGCCACAATCGTTTTTCCATTATAATAAATATCGTGGTTCATGATAGAACTTTACAGCCCAAAGATATGATTAACATGATGATGCTGTTTCAAGTAAGCAGAGAAGACGATTTATTCCCACAAAGCAATATGAGAATAAAAGAGTGATGAGTGCTCTGCAGTTAGCAGAAAAGGGACCCTCATTGTCTTTTGGATGGGAGACCTACTCTTCAGAAGTGAAACTAAGATTTGTTTTAACTGACCAAAAGGAGAGCTTGAGGAACAGATATACGGTACATTCCACCCTCACACCCGGGGGGCGGGGAGGGGGGCAGTGGGGCAGCACACAGTGCCTTTCAGAGGGACAGGTGTTTGGAGGGGCTTCTGGGAACAGCCTGGCAGACGAGGTGTCAGACTAAGGAAAAAAGGGCAAAGGAAGGGGGTCCTCGGGCAGGCAGGGGTAGGTATAGAGGAGGAAGAGTTTAGTAGGGAAGGGAGATAAAAAGGAGTATTCATGGTGGCTCAAGTCTGTAATCTCAGCACTTTGGGAGGCCAAGACGGGCGGATCACGAGGTCAGACCGAGACCATCCTGGCTAACACGGTGAAACCCCGTCTCTACTAAAAAATACAAAAAACTAGCCGG